GAGCATTATGAATGGTCAGTATTCGGCCTTGCTCATTTGTACCTTGCGTACTTCTAAGTACCTTGTCAAGGTAGTAGACCAGTCACTGTCAACACCTTCCAGACAATATGTGTTCCACTAGGTAGGCCTATAGATGTAACGGTGATACTACTGATCGGGAGGCACGTGAGTAGTATGTGTTGTTCATAGAATTTCGCTTTGTGTCGATTGAAAAATGGAATTCTGTTGCCGAATTAGCGGGGCCACTTTGTAACATTTGCCTTTATTTGACCGACGAAGCATTGGAGGCAATGAATCTCCAGGAAGACTCGTTCGGGAGAAGATCTGTGTCCAGGTTTTGTAACTAAGATGCAGATTAGAGCTTTGCTTCCTTGTTCAATGGTCTGTAACCGGTCAGTTGGCATTTCCGAATAAATAACTCTGCAGCGAAGGCCTTCTTTCTTTCACAGATATCACTTCAGCAGTCTTAGATAAGCAGTACTTGCTACCGCATCAGCGGCCGTGTGAATGAATACCGGCGAAGCTTCTAGCCGCGCGTTGGTCCATTGAACAGCACACCCCAAAGAAAAGCCTGTGCACGAAGTGCAGAACGCCAAGGTACCTTCGTCCGCCACTTCTCAGGCCCTGAAGATCCACAACATATGCCGTCACACCTTAGGTTATCTACTACCCTGGAGTGCGTACCGGCCGTCACGTGGTTATTTTCGAGGCGATAGTTTGTGAGAGAGTCCTTAGCAGTTCTGCAAACCAAGTTGCATAGGCATACACAACAATGCTGAATTAATGAACTGAAATTTGTTCATCAGTTATCTGTGCAAACGTCAGCTGGATGGCGCACACAAACTAGCATGAAACGACCAAAGTCCTTGCAGAGAACCAACGCCTCATGTCCAAACGTGTCCCGGTTCGCGGAGTCGGCACCATCCAGTTGTCCTAATTCTAAAATATCTGCAGTTGAGATTAGTACCTCGAATCACATTTATAAGTGACCCTGTTCGCTTCACTGAACAGTCACTTTCCGACAGGCACTCCCAGGATATTACTGCATGTACACGCCGCATGAAAAGTAGTCCCGAAGTGGTATTGACCCGCATGAATCAAACTGTTGTCATCTGATTGAAGTAATCGACCATGGTCCCGTGCAGCTATTTGCGGTTGGAATTCGTAGGCGAGTAGCTACGACACGCGTTAGAGCCCACCCAAAGACAGGGAGCTTGCTGAGTCATCGCTGTTTCGTGGATTGGTTCTCTCTCCTCCAGCAGATCACTCAGTGCACTCAGTTCGCCCACTGTGTTCTACCAGTTTGGATGGCCTGTGAGCGAATCTGAAAACTACCGAGGCCAATTAATTGATTCCATGGATAAACGCCACTGTAGTGTACCCCGAATGCATGATATGACAGTCATGGGTTCGTTTGGTAATGATCCTAGACCAGTGTGCTTTTGGTCGCGACTAGCACCCAGCCTGAGTAACAAGGCACTTCATGTGCGTCAGTTGAAGGATGATGTGTGAAAGCCTGTTATCACTTACGATTGTGTAAGTTGTTCGCTATCGGATGAATATCGGTAGGAGCAACAAACTTGTTGTGATAAACTTGACCTGAGCGAACTTTTTGAAGGGATCTCTTGATAGGGTGCCAAAAACACAGAGGGTTACCGTTCACTTTTGAGGTGAACTTGAAGAAGCTTTTACTAATTCCCGCGAATAATCGAATGTGAACCAAATCTCTTTATGCGCACCGGAGTCCAGGAGGCGCTGGTCCGTGTTTCAGACAGGTGGGTGAGTCTACCCATATCACTGACCACCGGTTGGTCTCGTCTCTCTCGCGGTGAACATCTAGGAATACTGCATCTACCAGCGCAACTGAGCCGACCGGTGAGGGCTTTCATGCTGTTCTGCAGGTCATGGAATAACAACCTCTCGGTTGTCTCCATCCAACACAACGCTGGACGAGGGGTTCTACGGGCAAACGAACCACATGGCCTAGCCAGCACAACCTGTGAATTGTGGCCAGCTGATCTGTCAAGGGAAAGTGAAATTTCTTGGAAATCACTAGAAGGGAAACTCAACATTACTGACCCGGTGTTCCCAGCAGACGCGTGTAATGCTTCGGTATCACTGATCGTCAAACACTCTACCACTGACAGTCAAGTTAATAGTACATCGGCACCACAAATGTCGGAGGTTGGTAAACGGTGGTCTGGCCTTCCAAATTCAGGAAGTGATTTCGTCTTTCGCCAGTCCACTGAGACTAACGCAGCTGTCCAGATAGACAAACCTTTCCACTTGCAAGAACAAGATCTGGATTTGATCCCACGCAGTCTTGAAGGATGGCAGCAAAATTATTTAGGTTATTTAGAGTAGTTCGCCCCCTTTCGACGATACGGACACATGTGTGAAACTCGATTTCCATTTGTAAACTCATTCAGTCTAGCATTACGGACAGTTGTTATGTACTGTCCGAAGAGACATTCAAATTTTTGACTGATTGGTAAGATCCAACTCCAAAAAGGATTTATTGAGGTGCCTGTGAAATGCAACAACACCTGCAGTCAGGGATTGAAACGACAATCCAGTATCTGTCCAATTCAATGACTCCATGGATAAACTGACGTGCATTTGCTAATTTTAAGTTGCATACTACTTACTGTGAACCGCTTACAGGGATTCATGAACCGTTATTTGTTTTTTCCGCTGTCCTTGTCTCAATCAAATTTTCCTATTATCTTGTTCCACCCTGGTGCAAACTAGTCCTCGAAACAAATAGATTCCCGTCCGCTGGCAAATGCGTCACAAAGGCATGCGTCATGTGCAGCTGGACGTGAAGACTGATGTGGTTTTTTTAAATTCCAGCCTCACGTGATCTATTCGCTCGTGACGTACGTCTGAGCGAATAAACCACATCCGTTATTGTGGATGTTTTAACCCGGATTTTGGACACATAACTGAATTCAAATTAAAAGAGAGGCGCGACTGTTAGAATGGTTGAAGCGGTATGTGACATTTTCAGGTGTTGGGGGTTGCCGGATTATGTAGAGTACATAGCTCTTGTTTAAATAATCGTCCTCCTGTCCTGGCGCAGGGGCGAGATGGCTCAGTGGTTAGAGCGCGAATTTACCCACCGGAATCCGACCTTTCCTCATCATCATCATCATCATCATCATCATCATCGACAGCATGACATCAGTGTTCAACACCGATGCTTCACTGCCGTGTCCAGTCTCTTCGTGACGGCCTTTCCTTATAGATTTCCTCTGTCTAGGCTTGAGAAACCTGGCAGTATCCCAGCATTCGTGATTCCTCCGGGTGTCATGGCAGCTAGGCTCCGAAAGGGTCTTGCAACTGAACGGTTTATTATCTTTTTTTGTCCTGGAGCAAGCATTCTGGTGAGTCCACACTGAATGGGGCGGAGCATTGGACTCCAGTTCCCCTCTTAATAAAGCTCATCAGCAGTGTATATCTATTGATCGTGTCGGGGTTCGACCTCCACACATCTAACATGCGAGGCGACCATGTTATCACTACTCTACCAGCGTACGCTGAAGTCATCCTAATTTTTACCTCTGAACAAGTGAAGATGTTCACGCGTGAGTGCTGTGAGCGGAACGCCAGTTATATACTCAGTAATATACCTAGTTTGTGTCGATCGATTGGCGCACAAGTCAGGTAGTGCCACAGACGCTTGTTTCAGGTAAATGGACTTCGCGCACTCTTCAGCTGATTGTCAACAAATGCTTGTACTTAGAGCCACAGCACGATCACAGGTCAACCTGGTAACCAGGTAAATGGGTTACTAGACAGACTCCATGGTCGTTTGGTGGAACCAAACGGAAAGTGTGCCAGGCGTCAGGTATATATAACTTGATCCTTGGACGCAAAGCAAGTCAGTTCATTTTATGGTGAACCGTAAGAGGCGTTGAAATACCGCTTTGCTCCTGATTGATTCTCCCACTGGATTTACTTCAAACTATGAATTTCCAATCCCTTCATTTCCGCAAACCAGGTCAACTACTGGTGCTCTTTTTTATAGAAAATTTCGGTCTAACGCTGTCAATTCAAGTGCGTCTGACCCGGTTTATAAGTCCAGACAATTTCTCACCGATCTGTGATTGATCCTCGCCCCAGTCATTACAAGACTTGTCAAGACGAGGAATTGTCTAGGACTTTGCGAGACATTGAGTGAACCTGTAGGTTGCTGGTACAAACTAATGTACTTTTGTCTGAAGTTGTACCACTTTCCCAAAACTCTAACTTCTTTTTTTTCTAGATTACATTTATCCTCTTCGCTTGGGGAGGGGAGGAATCGATCGCTCCGTCCTTTCGAAATACAAAACGACCTTGCATCACATACAAGCTGTTACTGACTTGAATCTCTCCCCTGGATTTATGAGGTTAGAATCGACAGTGAATGTGGAGCATAGTTTGAAGACTTTCGATGAGTTATTAGGAATGGTACAGTCTGAAAATGTTGCATTTTGTTGCGTATATGCTCACACCAAAAACCATCCAAATCTACGTTCATATTTTCGTAGCTCACAAAATTTCATTCTGCACTGAAGCAATCGGACCGCTGGCGAAAAACGTCTGGTGGAATAGCGAATATACACTCAGCTGCAAATAATTTGGTTTCTTTCGAGAGACTCATCTGGAACCCGATTGAATCCCTGGTTTGCGATGTTCTCAGGCAACTGAATGTGCTGCACCAGGCCCCTCATGTTTCAGTCGCTACGATATTCGAGATATCGCGATACATGTATATTTGTAATGTACTACTCATAAGGTTGCTGAAAATCCATCGACAGCCCACGACTGGTTTCGCCCTTCTTGGGGCTCACCAGGTAGGCGCAGTCCCCGGGTTTCCGTCAACCTTATGTTCTACTTGAAAGCAAATTGCACGAAATTAGCGAATATACACTCATCTGCAAACTAATTTGGTTCTTTCGAGAGACTCATCTGGAACCCGATTGAATCCCTGGTTTGCGATGTTCTCAGGCAACTGAATGTGCTGCACCAGGCCCCTCATGTTTCAGTCGCTACGATATTTGAAGGAACGTATACGAACTTATATGAACCTTAAAAACGTGACCACCTTGAAAATATATAGCTATTCTACTCACGGTGAACCGAAGATTTGTGGAAAGCGTATTGTTTTGTGACAAACACGAACAGGTGCTCAGTATCTCCGTGACCAGCTGCGCACTAAACGGAAGATATGGGGCAAAAACCGGAGCACAGCTTCATCAATATAGGAAACTGGTAAGGAAGATACGAGCACCTGTAACTTTCAGTATTTAGTTTATTACTGCAATCCATCAGTGATTGAAGAATCTATTAATAAACTATGCATCTGATGAAATTGCGTTCCTCTTACACCTGAAAACAAACACTACCCGGTAATATCACACGAAAAACACGTGTAAGTTAAGAGCACACCAGACTTCTGTTCTTTAAATAGATTGTGACACGTGCCCTCTAGCTGACCAAGAGCATGAACCGTTTCTGCGGCTGGATACCGTGCACGTATTCTGTGTGCGAAATGAGAGCGTTGTGGCAGACTGGTGTTCATGACAGCAGCGAGTTAAATGTCAAACGAAGTTGTGAATGCCCATGAATGCCCACCACATCATGTCGAATCCCGACGCATCAGACTGTACGAGAAAAGCCTGTACAACGTTAAGTTGGTCTGGCTAACTAGTAACACTCTATAACTGATGCCTGGAGTTTCGTGCACGTCTGCTGCGTTTCACCTAGACATCACGAGTTTTCTGTTGAGTGGAAAGGCGAGGATGTTTTTTATCAATTCTGCCTGGATAACTAACTACACCCGGTCAGTCGTGGGTCAGTTGACATAAATCTGAGAACGGCTTACTGCTTGCTGCTTGCCTTGACTTGCTGACAGAACCTTCCTATTAGGAATAATAGTGCATGGCCTTGAATTAATTCCAACGGATTCCCGCGTCCGCTTCACCTTGCGGATTTCCACGGTAGCTGAATGTTCTCAGATGAGCATAAATGTAGATGAAAGTTTGCCTGGAAGGTTAATTTTTCAGCATGAAGTTTCTAAAATCTCTTTGATAGCCAACGACCGGTTTCGTCGTTCCTTTCCAGGCTCACCAGGTAGGCGCGATCCCCGAGTTTCCTTGTGATCAACCTTAGGTTCAATCTGAACCCAAGTTGTATGCCGTTGGCGAACTACACGCAGTTACATACAAACTTGGTTCCATCATGGTCTTAGAGATCTCACACTCTGTACGAATGTGCTCGCAAAGAAGATGGAAAGGACTTGAATTTGTCTAAGCGTTCCTCAGTAGAATCACTTATATAGACCAACGCAACCACACCAAAAGAGGGCCACCTACACATGCCTTCAAGGCATGCTTTCACCGGGAATTAGTCCGAATTCCGCGTAAAATACTGACCGTGAGTATTATTCAGCGCACACAAATGATCACTTATAGTACGTCCAGAACTGGATTCATGGGACAGGCACACTTAAAAAACCAAAATCATTCGCAAAATGCTCGTTATTTTGAATTTATGCGTTGGTTTTGCACCCAGAGTCCAAAAAGGTCAGACACGGCAACTCGCTTGCTCAATGCCGTCTCCTCTGTACCACTCCACTGATGGCTGGCTTCAAAACCTATTGACTTGTCGTGGTTAAAGGTCCTGGTGACAGTTTGCCTAATGTTATCAAAAGAGAGACAAGTCGTCTTGTGTGTTGACTGGCACAGTATTCGAGTCAATGCCTTGATCTAATACGCTACTTATACGATTGGCGTAAAATTCATAGGATCGCAACCAATCTCCTTCTTCGAATTCATTATGTGGGCCTAAGTCCTCGGATTCTATGAACCTTCCGTTCTATTTGAGCACCAAAGTGTATGCGAATGACAGTATCCTAAACGAGCGATTCATTTGAGTCTCCGGTTAGTACTACTGAAATCTGCAAACGGGCATGCCTCGTCGACTGCGTGCAATTTGCTGTTCAAGTGGAACAAGAGGTTGATGGAAGTTTGGGAACCACGTCCGTCTGGTGAATTCCAGTGAGGAAGAAAGCCCTAGTGGGTTGTCAGAGCGTTTTCAGCATGTCATATGAAGGTATGACATTCGCCTTCGGGTCATTGCTGCTCCGCTTTCGGCGTACCCAACTCGGTAACTATCTTTGCCATGCGAATACATTTTCCAGTGACCGCATTGACAACGAACATCAGTGATTAGGCCGCACTACGGGGAAACATGCCAGTGGCACTGTGAAGAAATCCTCTGTGTGTGGCAAATGAATTTTGCATACGCTCTTTAGATGTTTAGTGGAATGTGTAGCTTTCCTGCCTGTCAGAAAAGCATGAACCGTTCGAATACTCTTCTTAAAAACTTAAAATCCGAAAAGCCACGCATTACACTTATCAAAAATTCATCCGCGGACGAGCACAAGTCTATCTTTGAGGTTACTCAGCAAATCTGGTAAGTGGTGGTTGGTCTTAACATTGACACTCGCTAGGGAAAATACACTCTTTTTGCTCGCCCATTTTTGTTTCAATCGGAGACTCAGCTGAATCTCAGCTGAATCTCCCGTTCATCTCATCATCAACCGAATTTTTTGCCCAAGGTTGACGGAAACTGGGGAACAAAAGAGCCTTGGGAAGAACGAAAAAGACAGTCGACTATCGAAGAGTTCTCAGAAAATTTTGAGTAGTTTCATTCAAGGAAATATACTTTGATATCTCGAATATCGTACCGACTGAAAAGTGATTCAGCCTTGGTGCAATTGAAGGTGAGCATCATAAACGACAGATCCAGTCGGAACTTAGGTGAGGCTCCCGCGAAAACCGAATTTGCCTGCAAATTTGTGTATTTAAAGTTCAGGTTGAACTCCGAAACTTGGTGGCTGTATCTTCCTGATCAGCACATAGTGCAAGGACGAACTGGTCATGGAGTTCTGAAGTGTCTTCAGCAACCTCATAGTTAGGCGTTTATTAGGGAGATGTTATGTCTAAGGGCACACAAGAACATCATGATCAGATTCAAAGTTCTTAGGTATCCGACCTCCTAATTCAAATTGTTTCGCTGATAAAACACGTGACTAGTATCGATCGACTGCTATCAAATAGTCAGATAATTACTCCCAACTCTTCAGGCTTCTCAGATCTGTTATTCGGTCCCCTTTGAGGACCACGAAATGTCAGGAATGATTTCCACTACTCACCGGTTGTCAGACTCCTAAAATTCTTCCACCCACTTGCCAGACTAAGCGAAGTCGCTTCTGAAGTACCCTGTTGTTCATTCTCCGTAACCACTGAGCAGTGATTTTCGTACTGTTCGTAGGATAATTTACGAAGAAACAGACTTGTTTAATACATTGTTGCACTCTTTGTTGTCAGTCTCCGCAGAAGTATGGGGGCACCTGACTATGAAACTCCCATGGACGGGACAGTCCTCACTTGCCAAGAATTTTAGATATCTCCGTAAACAGCTCCACTACGTTTGCGTAGTGATGGAACTTCTTTTCACATTTCCAAGTCGCCTTTCTGTAGGCCATTTGATGTCTGTTCCGTAGGAAGCCCTCCGAGTCAAACGCCGGCAGAATTTTGACGCTTTCAGCCCATCTCTAGTGCAACGCAACTACGTTTACACATAATGTCCGTCATCGGCTGTTAGGCGGAATTCCTCACGGATTCCTTTTTACCGCTCGTAGTCAGGCGCTGCCACGGTCAAGAAGCCCATCCCACGCAAGATTGGTCAAAATTTCGGGACGCTTGCCGGTCCGGCATCAAGCCGAGATCTGGTTGGTCGGAAGTCTGGACCCAACAGCCAATCATGACTCAGTAGTGGCGGAATGCCGGTTGCCAATGGTGCATCCTGAAGGCGTCAGAATTTCCAAAATGTCGCCGCACATAGTTTGTATATGAGGCGCTGTACATCTGTTTTTGCCTGGTTTTGGGCGTTATGCACCTTTGGGAACGCTAGCTTGTAAAGTTCACGTGAACGCTAGCTTGAGAGGCTCAGACCGAGAACTAAGCTGAGAAAAATACCGTTACTATATCGACTGAAATCCCAGTTTTATCTAAGAATCGTTTGTTTACGCTCATAGTTTACAGGGGTCTGTACACTAATGATAACGATAGGAGGCTTGTAAGGTGACTGAAAGAACCTGTTTCTAAAGTCGTCGTGCACTGTCCCATTGAGCTCAACTCGAAGGCGGGATCAGTTCGTCCACCTGGCTCCAGCTGACGTGATACATATAGTCGAACTCTACTCATTGTTCTAGACTGCAGTATTAGGCAGACGGTCAAACAAACTGAAATTCTTTCAGGCCAGGCTGACTATGTTCAGAAAGATCGGAGCTTTATTCTACTTACTGGTGAATTTCTTTTAGATTCGATCATTTTGCAACCTTTTCGCACTCTTCACCGTGAAAGAGAATGTAAGAAGCAGAATCTTCCAACTGCTTTGAAGCGCGAAAACGGTGATAACGGACACTTCCTGGTGTTTATTGAAATTCCACGTATGATGACTGTACTTATCGTAGCAAGTCAGATTTAGTTCGATTGTACCACAACTGCAGGGTATTCTTACCGGTCAAGGAAGACTGAAAAATAACCCTGGTTTCTAGGACATTCGGCTTCGCAGGTTGATAAGTCGGTTCGTCTACCGGATGGTTCGTTCATCATCCATTTTTAACCTCCTCTTCAAAATCAGTTACATCGTACGGTCTCTCCAACTCAAAACAGCCAGTGTCATTGATTCTCAGTTGTCAGGCTGGTGGCTATATCTAAAGTCAGTCATGTGTCCGTTTCTAGCGGCTTTTATCATCTCTTGACCATCTCTTGACAGCATCCATAAAATTCGCGACAGTAGGACAGAGTCAGACGGAAAATTTCCATAAATAATGCAAACACATCAATCTTTTGTTTTCCATTGCAAACGAATGTCCGGCCCCACCAATCAGTCTTTCATGGACAGGTGCAATTGGATTCGACTGGGGAATAAGTCCCACGAACATTTGAATGATCCACGAGGACTTTTGCCCAGATATAAAACAAGAAAATGCTCCATCTGTAGACAAACTTTGCGCAATAAATGCCGAAATGCTAACGCCACCCTGTTTTGTCTAATTTGTTATGCACCCGAATACACGGAGTGATGAAGTCTAGCGAGTGGCGGTTTTCGAAAATTGTGAGTAGTGAGCCAAACAGATTGGATGATCTCTCTTCCGAGAGCGTATTAATGCAAGCAACCCTTATAAGTATGTGTTTCTTTTTATACACAGTTGTTTTCGACCAATTGACCGCTAGAGTGAGTCGTCATTCTATGGATTTCCTATGACTTGAAATTCTGAAAAAAAATCAGTCACCGGTTCGTCTGACATTTCCTCAATACATGTGACATTAATCCATATCACAACATTGATGTCGACGTGACATGTGAGTGTCTCGTTCTGGCATTTAAGCACGTGACCTGGGAAGTACTGTGGTGCGGCCGTACATTTGGCTAGCGCCTTAGCGTAAGCGGGTGGGCCGAAAGCCTAGCACATGTGGACGATTGGTTCGTTGTGACAGCTAGTCCTACTTATCCTCAGCTGAACTCGGTCCGTTAGATGTGTGTGTGCGTGTGTGTGCGCGTGCGTGTGTGCGTGCGTGCGCGTCAATCAGCCATCTGATCGGTTTTGACTTTACTGATCTGTGTCTATCGTCGATTATCATATTCCGTTATTGGACTAAGAGGTATTTTCTCCACTAACGTTCTTCACCACTTTACTTCGACATTGTGTATGATAAAGACTAGTTCCAGGCGAGTTGTCCTCCACGACGTTTCCTCGCAACATCGCAGATGCTACTGTGCTCAGTGCAGCTGTGTAAGCGTGCATCAACGCGCCATAAATGTCAAACCAAATAGCTAAAACAGTCGTTGATAAAAGACAGTCAAAAGACAGTCTCAGATCCTTACATATGGAGTAGACTGGGAAAACAAGAAAATATTGGCCTGAAATTTTATCGATTTCACGTGTCAACCCGTAGTAAATGTATCAGAATGATTGGTCCACATTGAGCTAACTGGTGGCCAGCATGATGTGACTGGAGTTGGTAAGCAACAGAGAAATCGCAACCTCTACTTGTAAATTAGAGACGTTTCTACTCGGATATACGTGCGGGGGTGGGGCGAAAGGCCAGTTTGTCGATTCACTGCCAACTGAGGCAGTACCGATCAAATTAGAATGTACTGGAGCTTAGCAACCCCACCGACTGTTGTGAAGTTTACTGCGTTCATATTGTTCCCATACTTATTACACAGCCAGAATTTGTAGCTGTAATAAGCAAAATATGTGAGGCAGAAGACAAAGGCTGCGGATCGTCAGTAAATGTGTTTCTAACTAACTCAACTGACGGATGCTCATCCCGATGTACACATATCGTGAGCCGATCGGTGTCATTCAATATATCAGATTCTTTGGCAGTGTTCCTGTACAGCAAAACCGGGATCCACATCAAAGAGGGAGAGCAGTGGACTCGAGTTTCGCCCTTATTAGAGCTCCTCAGTAGTACATATTCTTTGGTGTTCCGGGGCTTGAACTCCGCATATGTGACGTGCGATGCGAGTTTGTCACCACTGCTCCACCAGCACAAACAGAAGGCGTCTGAATTATTACTTTTGAACAGATGAGCATGTTTATGCTTGACTGATTCAGTCAGTCGGCCCGACGTGGCGGCCCAGTAACATTCCTTTCTTGGCCCGCCTGCCAGGACTCCTGAGTCAGGTGGCGCTACAGACGCTTGAAACCTGCTGGAGAGTCGTCAGCCATGTGTTTGGAGCACTGGTTATATGAGTATGCTCAGTGGACAGCATAACAGCTGAGATACTACTTATGAACGAGGTTTTCATAAGTTCTGTTAGCGCTCTGGTAGTAACGTAATCAGGTTGATTATCAGGTGAAAAACGCTACCAAATGTTTGTTTTACGAGGATGCTGATGAATACAATGGTAATGTGCACTTGGTGAAAATGGATACAATGTGAAAAGTGGAATAAGCCAAAAAATGACTTATCGTCTGAGGACAACTGTTGAGAGAGTGTTCATGAGTGAAGTTCCGGACGCAGGACGTGTCTTCTCTGCTGTATAGCTGTCGTGGAGACTTGTGGAGTTTGGTTGAACTCCCGTCCTGTGTGTGTGTACTGGGCCAAGTTGTACGCTTATTTATTGTATGTAGTGTGAAGAGAGGGGTGTCCCTCCGTGTTGATGCTTGCACGAACATGAATACACCTTGACGTGACGTGGTTGAAGTTCGTAAGCCTGGCGCGTGACTCAGGTGACAGCCGCGTAAACAAAACTAGATGTGTACATGTTGTCGGCTGAGGTCGCAAGTGGAACAGGAATTATCATGTGGTTTTTAAGTGTTTGTGACCGCTACAGTTCAGGAAAACAGCCATTCCTTGCCAGAAGATAGGTTCCAGATAACAACCGCGAAAAGTAAGATCTGTTTATCCGATTTTCCCTTAAAAAAGGTTCTGACAAGGCGACCTTCAAGAGCCGCCGGTCGAACGTTTTTTTGTTGCTCAGCTGGACAATACGGTTGAGGTTCTTCATTGGTCACTGCAGTTGAATTTTCAAACAAATCTAATTTTTCTGGGTGACAATGGTGCATATATATACATACATATATATATATATATATATATATATATCAGAGGTGACTCCTTCTGAGAAATAAAGAAACGAAATTTGGCGCTTGATGGTCGTAGTTGTGTGCGGAACATCAGATGGCGCCTCTTTGCGTTCACTGTGGAAATCGACTATTCAGCTGTCCCCTCTTGATTTGACGGTTTTGGGCCAGCAGTTGGTCAGTTTAAGACTGCCCCTCCTGTTCCCGGTACTGTCTTACCGCTGGGTTTACATCGGTTACAGGGTATCTAGATGGTTGCATATATTTGCTGAATGGAAATCGTATTTCACGCGGGTCTCCATCGGTAAGTTCCGATTTGACAGGCCAGCTCACAGCACCAAAATTGAGAAACAAATGAGCGACCTGAGGGTAGAACATACAGAATTAGTAGGAGGGAAAAACTGGAAGATAAGATAAGGAACGACTAATGCCTATGTTTGTTCTGGACGCTCTGCTATAAAGGAGGTCTCTGTGGTCAACAGATGTGCACATATCCTCACCTATATATACATACACGGTAGTGCTAAGAAAAAAACGCCTCTGGGGATGCTGATGATAGGTAAACGCAACAGATGGGAAACGGTGCTGGTGAATGTCCTAAAAAGATTTGTTCTAACGTTTGTACCTTATTCAACTGAGGTGACCGATAAGAAGGTAAGTGCCGGAACACCGGAAGCCGAATTCCTCGTATGATGACAGTCTGGTGAAAACTGTGGGCGGACAGTGCTGAATAATCGGCAAAGCGTTAGAAAGCATAAAACTTCGGACTGTCAGAACAGCATAGTTTAGAAGGACATAACAGCCTACGTACACTGAAGTTAAATTTTTCAACGTTTCCTACTAAGTGACGGGAAACCATAACTCGCGCTTAACTCCATGTAGTCGATGGATAGAAGCTGACTGAAATAACGTCTAGATGTTTAGCTCCTCTCTTTGTGAACACAACTCAGTGCATTTGAAAAGGCAAGCAACTCGTTCGAAAGACGGGCTTTTAGGCCAGATTTTCGAACTGTTGCTAGAGAAGAACTGTTCTGCTTTCGTTACTGTTACTTCGTTTTCTGGTAATGCAGTGTTAGAAATGTTTCTTTCGCATCGAATTTTCCAACCTTCCAGCAAGACACATCTGCCTGTTTTACATTTGTTGATAATTAGGCCTGGAAAGGTTCATGAAAACGGTTCCAGTTAGTAGTGTTTCTAGTGACCACGATCTTGCATTGCGCCGGGTAAGGATCAGATTCTGTACTTCAAGTGATGTAGTACCATCGCACAGATTTATATACCGAAACACGAGTTGCCAGTTTCAGGACAAAAAATACTGTGCTATGACTGACAATAGAAACACCGGTGCCACTGGGGTAATCTGCTCAGATTCACCTTGACAGTCAAACCATAGCTTATCAACACCTTGTGATTTGTTCTCCCAGAAGGTCACAAATGTACATGCATACTCACTCCAGTGTTCTCATACTGTTGGGTAAGTTGGCTAAACCTCAAAATATCCGTCCGTGGCATCCTATGAACACTTTCCATACAAGGAAAAGTAAATTAATATAGGGAGTGGAGTGGTTGTACCCTTAGTAAGCGCAAATCTTTCTGAGGAGACAAATTAAACCTTCCGGGTTGAATCGCATCGCTGGGACCTTCGAACAAGACTGTTGGAAACAGCTGTGGATATCGCGTTTTCAGGCTTGTTTGGGTTTCCGGGGAACTGTTGTGATTAACTGCTGTCCCCGCTCCAGCGCTGTAGTGTCTGAAAAAGAGTGGCCAACAAAGAACACAAGAGTTTTATTACAAAGGTTATGGCGGTATTTAAAGCGTACTTTCGATTTTGAATTCAGGCTGTCCGATCGGTATTGAGTGAACACTCATCATCTTCAGTCGTCGATTCTATGAAATGTCTGGACACTTAGCGTCCAGACTTCTGTGGCATTCTTGACCACTCATCGTCTGCCTCCGCCGAACTGACTGTCTGCTCGAGAGTCCAATCGGCAGTGGGCCTTTCTCTCAGAGATGTTTGAAGTCTTCCCTATTGCGATTTTGGTGGAGTTTGGTAGGTTTCGGGCATTCGGAGATTATTTTCAATAATCCGACCTGATTAGAACCCAATCCACAGGACTATCAGGACCAACAGGATCGATGTCCTGTCATCTCCGTCCACCGATATCAGGAACGACACGAGTTCGACGGAAGTGGAGTTCGTACACTAGCTCAATAAGATCGGAAGCGGTACCGGCCCCCTAAATCAGAGTGCCAAGTTGACCGAAACAGGAAACACCAGTCGTTGCAGCCAAAAAATCAGTCTTCATGGGGGGTCGGAACACAGAAGAATGCAAATTCAGAGGGGCAAATCAAGGCACACAGAAAGAGAAGAGACTACTAAAAATGAAGGCACTGGTTTAAGCAGTCGATTCACAGCAACGTAAAAAGGATCACAAACGAGCCAATAAATTTGCGAAAACGCTGTCTACCAATTAACTAATCACGTTAAGACCTAACACATAACCTTGAAACGCCATATAAACGCCCGTGGTCGAAGAGGATACACCTGCCAAACGGCACTTTTGGGATCATTAAAAACTGAGCGGATGTTTCACAAATACACTCACTTGCTTACCACGGGAGACTCATACGGAACCGAGCCCTCGTTTATGATATTCTACTTTGACTAACCTTGCTGCACCCGATCGTCCGATGTTTCAGTTGCTATGATATTCAAGATATCACAATACATTTTATAAACATAACACACTACTCATAAGGTTGCTGAAAAGTATTCCATAGCTCACTGCAGGTTTAGTCCGATTTTGGCCCTGATTTTCCGTCAAAGTGATGTTCTATTTGAACCGGCGAAACCCAAGTTTGTATACAACTGTCGAAGTTCACTCAATATGGGATCAAGGAGAACATAAGACTGTTGGAAACTCGGACACTGTGCCTACTCCGACTAAGAGAGGTGAAACCGTGGCTGTCGGAGAGTTTTCAGCAACCTTATGAGTAGTGTGCTGAATCCGCGAATGAAATTTTACTGTTTGCAGTGCTTATGGTGAGTCAAACCCTTTGGTTTTTAACAGTCGCATGCAATTCATCATATGAATGTGCGCTAAAAATGTCATCGTTCCACTCTTAGACTGAGGATTTAACCGAAACGGGACTGAATGCAACTACAATGCAACATTGAGGCGATGTTGAGAATAACTGAACTGATCTATTCAGCATGAAATTTATTGCTTCCCTTTCTCATTTATTCTCTTATGTGTGTGTGTGTGTGCACACGGCCGATTCAACATGAATGTTGCTTGTTAACTTTGCTCTTTCATCTTCATTTCGGCTTGCCCTTGAGCCGATAAACGATAGTCACGTGACTGTGTCGATGCCAGTGGAAGCTCCTGTAAATTGTCAGATAAGATATCACCCAACTGCGCATTGATGTTGTGTTCTTGTGTGATGAATAAACGTTTTCACGTCAAATTCCAAACTTAGCGAACATATCAACATCCACCTGATCAAGAACTAAGAATCCTGTGTCGGTAATCAATTTTCGTTTACTGATGCATCATTGTTTGATTCCGAAATAGGAGTGGTGTGGAAATACTCGTTTGACTGAAACACCCTTTCGGTTCTTAGCTAACGTGTCACGAGAGGGAAGCACCACCAGAAGGAAGACACCACAGATTGCCGAATCCCACGCAGGTGCACTCGTGATTCTGTGGTGATATTGGAACCACTTAAAGTCAGTAATTTTGAGCCCTAACCACTGAGGTATCTCGAGGTAACTCGGCCTGATCTAGAAAATGCTGTGGAATAGTGAAGCTAATGAGTTACTCAAAATACTTAGCTCCCGATTCGACATTCAACAATGTTGACCGTAGTTGCTCTGTTGCTGAGACAAATTGTGATGTCACGCCACTTAAATACCGCTTCCATTGTGCTCAGCTCCGCATCGGTAAAAAATCGTGCAATTTCGCGTTTTTTTAAAGCCTGAAAACAGTAGGCCAGATGTTGC